CATCTGTAATCCAGCTACTCGGAAGGCTAAGGCAGGAGGATCATTTGAGCCCAGGAGTTTGAGGTTACAGTGAGCTATGATTGTGCCACTGCACTCCAGCCTGGGCAATAAAGTGAGACCCTAACTTTTGAAAAAAGAAATAAAATTTTGAGAAAGTCATCTTTCATTCCAAATAAAAGAAAAACCTCATTGTAACCAGCCTTAAATAATCTTTTTTCAAAAAATTCCAAATCCATTTGAAAAATAGTGGTCTTGGTTTTGTTCTGTGTAAAACCTAAAGTACATATAAATGGCCAGCAGAGGGAGCCAAACCATGCATGTATTTCTTTTCTAGCTCGTTTTTAGGAAAGTGGATTATTAAAAATTACAAAGTGTAAATAACCCTTATCATTCAAGAATATATGCAAAAATTAAAGAAATCATATAGTTTAGTGCTATTCTATGCCAAGTGCTGTACAGAAAATTCAAAGCTAGAATGGGATTCTAAATCTGAAGCAACTAAAAATGCATTCTTTGCTCTCTCTCACTCACTTTTCTGGGTTTTTTGTTTTGGTTTGGTTTTGATTTTTTTTTTCTTTTTTCTCTAGGACTTTTTTTATAGTAACTCCTAAAAAGCAAAGTAGTTTTTATTCTGTTGAAGTGGAAACATATTATGAGTTGTATGGACACTTTTTCACTTCCTATAGCTGGGAACATAATTGTTACCAGTGTGTTGAAAAGAAAAGGGAGGGCCTTAGCTCACACTTCTTAAATCAGGCCCTCACTATCTCTCAGGAAACAGAAGGAACAAATTTTGGTGGAAATTTGTTGAAAACAATTTGCCACAACTACACATCCATGTCTCTATTTTCTGGGTAATACCTGCGTTAGTTAGGGTGTTTTGTTTATAAGGAAGAGAATTCAACTCTGACCAACTCTGGCTAGCTAAGAGGGGAAAATAATTTACTGAAAGAATGCTGGTTAGTATTGTCCTTTCAATAATTTATAAATAAAATTTGGGGGAAATGATTGACATTTAAAAGTGACAATGAGTATATTTCATATAACTTCACTTTCACAAATTTGTAAATTTATATAAAATAGGTAACTTCTAGACAAATATATATTATGTAATATGTAATACATAAGAAAAATAAAACAATATATTTTTAAGTGAATGTATTATTAAAAACCTTCCTGTTAAATAAGGAGAGAGAGAGAGAAAACAAAAAAAATTCCTTCAAGTCGAACTGGCCTCACTGGCAAGTTCCAGTAAACATGTGAGGATGAAGTTTCATCTGAAACAAAGACTTCTAGAGAAAAGAAAGTGTTACCATCTCCTTTTATGAGGCGAACATCACCTTGACATTCAAGCCCAACAAAGACTTCCATTTGCAGAAAAATGGAATAGACATGCTTTTTTCTATTCTCACTACATACAGCTACAGACTGGACATTATGAATAAAACAAATATGACTCTGAAAGGCAGAGAGAAGGAGGCAGACTGGCCAGGGACCTGGGACACAGGAATGACAGCAGTCAGTACCCTGGGTTTCTTTTTACTTCACACATCCTTGCAGGTATGAAGACTAGGTAATGGCGATGTCAGCAGTCCAGATGTGCCAATGGGCACAGATGGAAAAAGCCCCTAAAACCTTGGTTTCTATAGCCAGAGAACCAAGAAAAAGGCAGCCCAGCAAGACAGAAAAGTTTTAAACAGTAACCCCTCTGTTCCACAAACAATCACAGAAAAAAACTGTGCTCTCCCTCCCACCAGGAAAGGCTCAATGGGGAACTTGGACTTCGATCCTGGCCAGGCTGTAAGTAGGTACCCCAACAATGGGACGCATACTCACCAACACACATCATAACTCAACCTCTGAAAGCTAAAAACAAAAATTTCAAAGCAACCAGAAAGAAACAATGCATTACCTATGGGAAAAAACAATTCAAAGGACAGATTTCTCTTCAGAAACATTGGAGGCTAGAAGAAAGTAGCAAAAAATGTTTTAAATAAGATCCCTAAGATCAAGAACAAGGTAAGGCTGTTTGTTTCCACCACTGCCATGAGAGTAACGGGAGGTCTTGCCAGACTAATAATGAAAGAAATGGACAGAAAAGGCATACACATTAGAAAAAAGAAATAAAACTGTCCCTATTTGCAGGTGATGAATTCCAGCTATGTAGAAGATGCCAAAAAAAAAATTACAGGGTTTTTAGTTTTTGTTGTAATCTATGAGCAGCCTTCTAAAAACTAATAAGGGAGTTGAACAAAGTTGTAGTATACAAGATCAACATGCAAAAATCAATTTTATTTCTACATACTATCAATAAACACTGACATTTATAATACTATTTACAATTGTCCAGAAAAATGAAACATATGGTCGTAAATCTAACAAAATATATATAAGACTTGTAAGCCAAAAACTATGAAATGATAATGGAAAAAATCCATAATGGAATGTGGATGGAATATAATGGAATAAATAAACAAAGAAACATGCCATGTTTATGAACTGGAAAACTCAAGGTAACAGATGTCAATTCTTCGTAAATTGATACCCAGATTTAACACATTCCTATTAAAATGCTAGCAAGATTTTTTTGTGGATATAGACAAGATTAATCTAAAATGTATATGGAAAAGTAAATGAACTATATTAGTTAAAATGATGTTTAAAGAAAAAAATGGGAGGAATTATTTTACCTAATTTTAAAACTTACAGTTGACCCTTGAACAGATTTGAACTGCCTAGGTCCACATATACACAGATTTTCTTCTGCCTCAGCTGCCCCTAAGACAGAGAGACCAACCCCTTCTCTCCATTCTCCACCTCAGCCTACTCAATGTGATGATGAGGATAAAGACCTTTATGGTGATCCACTTAGACTTAATGAATAGTAAATATATTTCCTCTTCATTATGATTTGGTAACATTTTCTTTTCTTTAGCTTACTTTATTGTAAGAATACAGTGTGTAAATATATAACATATAAAATATGCATTGGTACCCGTAACCTCTGCATTGTTCAAGGGTCAACTGTGTTATATATCTGCCATCACATAGACTATGTGGACTATCTCAGAGGAATAGATGTGTAAATCAGTGTAACAGCCCAGAGAACCCAGAAATAGCCCAGCACGGGTATGGCCACCTGACTTTTTACAAAGGTGCAAAAGCAATTCAATGGAGGAAGGATAGTCTTTACAACAAATAGTGCGGAAACAGTTGGATATCTGTGGCAAAAAGGAAACTCGACCTAAACCTCACATCTCACATTTCATACAAAAATTAACTCAAAATGGATCACATAAAACCTTTGGAATATAAGAGAAAATCTTTGGTTAAAAAAAGACTTGGATAAGAGTTCTTAGACATGACACCAAAAGCACAATCCATAAAAAACAAAAAAGTATAAATTAAACTTCACCAGAATTAAAACTTTTGCTCTGTGAAAGACCTTATTAGGAGAATGAAAACAGAAGCTGTAGAGAGAAAAATGTTTGCAAACATGTATCTGTCAAAGAAATTGTAGCTAGAATATATAAAAATTTCTCAAAACACAGTATTAAAAAATCAAATAATCTGGATAGAAAATGGGCAAAAGATATGAAGAAACATTTCATTAGAATTACATTCAGATAGCAAATAAACACATGAAAATATCAGCCATTAAGGGAAATGCAAATTAAGACCACAATGAGATGTCATGACTTACCTATCAGAATGGTTACAATAAAAATAGTTAACACTACCAATTGATGGTGAGGATTAGAGAAAGTGTCCTTCATACATTGCTGCTGGGAATGCAAAAGGGTACAGCCACCCTTGAAAACATTTTGGCAGTTTCCTAGAAAACCAAACCTACAACTAACCATATGACCCAGCAATCACACACTTAGGAATGTGTATTGAGTGTCAAGCCTGGTCCTTTTCCAGTGTTCCCTGACTCAGTGAGTGGCCATACCATCCGTTTGAGGATGGAAACCAGGAAAGTGGGAGACTCCTGTGGCTTCTATCTTCCTCACCCCACATATCTCTTTTATCACAAAGTCCTTTTGTTTGTTTTCCTCACTGCAGCCAGAGGGGTCTTTTAAAAATGCGACTATGATTGTGTCATTCACTGCCACCCCCTGGCTTAAAGCACTTCAATGGTTTCTTGTTGTTTTTTGGACACGTAACAACACCAACAAAAATTTTTTTTATACAGGGTGTCACTCTGTTGCCCAGACTGGAGTATAGTAGCATGAACATGCCTCATTGCAGCCTTGACCTCCCGGGCTCAAACGATCTTCCCACCTCAGCCTCCTGAGTAGCTGGGACTACAGGCACACACCATCACATCCAGTAATTTTTTTTAGTTTTATTTTTGGTAGAGACAAGGTCTCTTGCTATGTTGCCCAGGCTGGTCTCAAAATTCTGGGCTCAAGTGATCCTCCCACCTCAGCCTCCCAAAGTGCCAGGATTACAGGTGTGAGCCACCAAGCTTGGCCTCAACTTCGTTAATGTGCCTGATGTAAGTACTCTGCTCTGCAGAGGCTTCTCATACTTTCCCTTCCACCCACCCAGGCTTCTTCTAGTGTCTGGAACATGCTCTACCCTCTCCTGACACAGACCTTTAAACAGGCTCTTAACTCTGCCAAAACATTCTCCCCCAGCCCCATCTTTTTCTCGGCAACTTTTTCTCACTTTCCAAACCCCAGAACTGTGACCACTCCTTTAGGGAAGACTTACGTGACCACCCAGACTATGTCAAGATGTCCTTAATAACTCCTCTTACCCATTACTCTTTTCACACTCATTTGTGTCATATTATTATTCTATCTCTCTCTTCCCCAACTATTCTGTAAAGTCCGTAAGGGTAGAAACCATGTTTGAGGTTAACACCTCAAACCTAGTAAAGTGTCTGGCATATAAGAGGTGCTTGGTAAATGAATGAATAAATGAATGATGGGTCACTAAGTAGTGTATCTATTAAGTGCTCTATGCTATTGAATATACTATAGAAGGAAAAACAATTAACTCAGTCACTAATCTCACTGAATTTATTGTATGTGACCTAAGCTTTGGCCAACTTAAAAAGAATATACAGACAACAATACAATAGTGAGGGAAAAAAATGACCTGTTAAAACTACAAATTATAAACACAAAAGAAATAGGTTTCAAATTGAATATAAGTCTTAAATAATACATTGCTTCTTAGACATGAATATTAATGATGAGTCATTTCCCTTCCACAGAGTAAAGAAAAATACTGTGGAAAAAGCAGAATTTTAGGAATCTGTGAATATAAAAAAGAATATTCTAAGTCCAGGATTAAAATACAGGTTCCGAAAGAAAAAGTAGCACAAAAACTCTGTATGTTAGATCATATATATGGACTGTTGTCCTAAGTAACCTCAAAACTAACTTATGCTATTATAGACGTCACAGAGAATGAAGGAAAAAAGAAAAAGTAGACAGTGGAAAGATACATAGGGATTTTTAAAAAGTATTTTATACAAGAATATAAACCAATCTAAAGCCCACAATGTCTAATACATAGAAAATATCAGCAAATGCTGGACAATCAAGAAATCTACACATCAAATGGCACCTTTCTGCAGGACCACTTTGCTCTACAACTCTAGGGGGCATAATTGGCATTGTACAACTGTCCATGTAAAAGGCACCTCTGGACTTAAACAAATGTCCCTGCATAGCCAAACACTGAAGTTGCATGTATAAATGTTTAAAAATGTCCAAACCATTCATTGCCCAGCTACTGTCTATGACATCCACAGAATATCCAAGAGAGCATTGTTCACTTTTATAAAAATAGAAGTTAAATGATTTTTCTGTGAGTTAGCATCTGAATGTCTATACCTGCAGTGAATCCAAGATGTTGTCTTGGGTGGGGGTATTTGGAAGGGGAAGTACAGAAGGATTATCTCAGACAGTGTACTCTTACAAATTACACTCAAAGTTGTCACACAAATTGACGTGATACGGCATTCTAGTCCAAAATCCTTGTATAAATGTGCACAGGATAATTTGTCTAAATCCTTCAGTATGTACTGGTTTAATTTCCTTTTGTAAAATAGGTTTCCTTCCATTTTATACATATTCATGAAGACATGCCATCAGCATTGAAAGATACTCAAGCAGAAAAAGTCCTATCACACTGACAAGACAATTTCCTTGGTAATGTAATCAGATAGTACAGCTGCATTCCTTGTTAATCTGAATTTAGTTCAGATAGCTAAAGAGCTTTATTCACTTCATAATAAAAATTATACATTTACAAAATATGTTTCTGATGATTCACATAAATTTATTTTTGTAATAATTATTTATTGCAAGAGTCTTTTAAAAATACATTGAAATGGCATTAGATCAAGATGAAATAACCTGATTTCGAAAAGTATACTTCATCAAATGCTTTACTAGGCTTCCATAATAGCAGTATTAAGGTGTCTGCTTAGTAATTATGCAATTTTTGACCTTATTTTATTTTTTGTCTTACCTGGAAATTTTACTGACATAATTTTTCAACACACTTTTTAAGCCAGATCATTTTAAACCAGATTCCTTTATCTAATCCTTAAGACTGAATGACAAGAGGAGACAGAAGGGAAGGAGGGCTTTAATGCTAATTTGTTTAGGGTTATTTTTTAGCATGAAAATTGGACAACTGATGATATAGAGGGGTGTTTTTCAGATGTATCAGATCATGAGACTTAACTTGGATGTTTGTTTAAAATTATGGAATCCCAGGTCTCATTCCTACAGTTTCAGATTCCTACGGTTTGAGATGGGTCTTAGGAATATGAACTATATTCAAAGCACTTAATAGCACAATGTAGGAAATACATGGCATCATTGAAAGAACTCTGACCTAGTCTTGAGTGTTCAAAACACCAGGGTTGCCAGTTTTTCTGTGTGTCCTTAACTGAGCCATTTAATTTCACTGGGTCTAAATTTCCTCAGTTGCAAAGGAAAAAAAACCAACCAAAACAAAAAGGGCTTAGCCTTATAAGTCCACAAACCCCACGAAGACAGGAGCCAGGCAGATTTTGTTCACTGTCTGATCCCCTGCACCTAGCCTGCTGCCTGTCACAGAGCAGCCTCTCTGTTAGTACTTGACTAATTCACTATATGGATGAGCTACAAGGTTCTTTTTGGCTCTAACATTATATGATTCTAAAATAAAGAAGTAATAAATTCATTTGGTCTGCCAATTACAAAATAATAATTACTCTCAAAATAAAACAAGGTATAAATGGAAGAAGGCCCTACTCATTTATACTGGTTTCCGAGCTGCACGTTCCTGGTGAACATTTCAAAGGATGTGACTTGGGTAATTTGATTTTATGTCTTCCTTACTGGGCTGTGACAGTCAAAGGTAATGCAATTCATTTCCATCTTAACATAATGTTTCGTTCACAATGTATGGTCAGTAAAAGTAAGTGGAATCTGGAAAACCCAGTAAATTCTATGGAGAATGATGGCAAAGAATGTAAGTGCTCTTACTCCCTGGACAGGTGTACTATAGTCACACCATTAATTTTAGGGCTTTTGTTATTTTAGTCCTAAAACATACATCAAGCAACAAATCCAGAATTGTCAGAGATGTTCCCTGGCACAAGTAGATTGTGAAGAAGTGAGTATTAAAAACTAAGAAGGAAAAATAAATCCTGAAAACTATTTTTAAGGCTAGGCATGGTTGCTCATGCCGCTAATCCCAGCACTTTGGGAGGCAAGGCGGGCAGATCACATGAGATAGGAGTTTGAGACCAGCCTGGCCAACATGGTGAAACTCCATCTCTACTAAAAATACAAAAATTAACCAGATATGGTGGTGCAAGTCTGTAATCCAGCTACTCGGGAGGCTGAGGCACGATAATCACTTTAACCCCGGAGGTGGAGGTTGCAGTGAACTAAGACCACACTACCGCACTGCAACCTGGGTGACAGAGGGAAACTCCGTCTCAAAAAAAGTGACCCACAACAACAAAAACCCTCTATAATATTTCAAATTTATTTTAAAACTAATGTTCTTATTTACTTTTAAATTTTTATTACATTACTTTAAATACTTCTAGCTTTGTGCAGTGGCAGTATCACAGTCAATGAGGTTTAAATCCTTCCTTATATTATGTATCTAAAGTAATTTAGAGAAGTGGTTCTCAAGTGTGGTCCCCACATCAGTGGCATCAACATCACCTGACAATGTGGAACAGATTATTGAGCCCTGTCTAGATTCTTAGTGTGGGGCCACAAAAATCTGTTTTGTTTTGTTTTGAGATGGAGTCTCGCTCTGTAGCTCAGGCTGGATTGCAATGGTGTGATCTTGGCTCACTGCAACCTCTGCTTCCTGAGTTCAAGAGATTCTCCTGCCTCAGCCTCCTGAGTAGCTGGGATTATAGGCGTGCGACACCACACCCAGCTAATTTTTTCATTTTTAGTAGAGATGGAGTTTCACCAGGTTGGTCAGGATGCTCTCAAACTCCTGACCTCATGATCTGCCCGCCTCGGCCTTCCAAAGTGCTGGGACTACAGGTGCGAGCTACAGCCTGGCCAAAAACCTGTTTTGACAAGTCCTCCAGGAAATTCTCATGAATGAGAGCCACTGACTTAGGGTTAAAAAAAGACTGTTATAAAAACATGACTGCAAAGAAAGCTGAATTCAACTTTTTTTATACCTCTGACAATGTATCAGAATTGAAAAGACCATATCATGTATGTAGTCAATTCTTATCAATATACTCAATTAGCAAACATACATAAATCATTTTTGTGGAATTTAAGTTTCCTCTCTATGAAAAAAATACTGTTCCTGAAAACAAAAATATGTAAATTCCTGGCTTTTAGGATATTAGATTCCTAACTTCTCAATTTTACAAATAAAATACAAATTTTTAATGATTACAAACACTGCCAAGCATTACTAAACATCATTTGAATGATATTAAAACATGAAAAATAAAACATGAAGCTATGAGTATGCAGTGCAAAGTCACAAGGGGTTTTTTTTTTTTTTTAATCCAAATGGCAAGTGTGGTTTACAACTCGTGATACATAAGATTCTAAGGATAACTAGATATTATAAATTTAAGATTCTGTGTTCTATGTAAGAAAAGCTCTCAGCTATAGAGTTTTGAAACTCTTAAAGCTACATTTTCTCAGATATCAGGAAAGAGGAAGAGTTTTACTTGGAAGGCAGAGTAGAGATGAGGGTGCTGATGAGAAATGTTGATCCCTCCATTGTCACATTTTTTTGGGAGCAAGTTAAGGAACTCGAAAATTGCTGAGACAGGTAAGAAGGCTACAGAATTAATGCCTATTCTACATGGTTCTGGGGCTTGACAGAACATGAGTCTTCAGTATGTTTTTTCAATATTTCCCCCAAGCCCTAAAATTCACCCAAGAGAAAGAGGTCGACTTAAACATGTAAGAAGAAACAAATCAGTCCATCTGCAAGAGCACTTAGTCAGGAACATTAAATGGCAGTGAGCTGATGACCTCTCCAGACTCGGTGACAATGTCATCGTAAACCCAACGTCGGTTGCAGCGGCACTCAGGCCCACACTTGTTGGAGTTACACTTGGGGCATGGGTAGAAGCAGCCCAGGCAGTTTTTCTCTAGACAGTCGCACAGGTCAACGTCATTACAGATGAGCCTTCCACTTTTGTTGTACTTCCTCATTACACTACAAAGGAAAAGCAAGACATTAACATGACAGTGCAATCATCCTCGATATTGAGAATAAATTAGTGTACAATAAACATCATACACATGACCGTTTTACCCTGAGCCAGAACTCCAGAGATGACCAGAATACTCCAGAATATTCTATGGCAGTGATGTCATGGAAAATCTGTCAATATGAGATCAAGCAACTTCCAGTGCAGCTAGGTTTGTCATCAAGAATAACATTTCATTTGTCCAGCATTGCTGGGAAATGCAGCAATCTAAGAAAATTATGAGAAACAGCTAACGAAAGCTTCCTACTACAAATGCTCAAAAGTTTTCTTTAAAATATTACCATTCTTGATGGATTTTTACCTAACAAATTGTACTTTTTTATTTATTTATTTTATTTTTGAACCAGAGTTTTGCTTGTGTGGTCCAGGCTGGAGTACAATGGTACAATCTTGGCTCATGACAACCTCTGCCTCCTGGGTTCAAGAGACTCTCCTGCCTCAGCTTCCCTAGTAGCTGAGATTACAGGCATGCACCACCATGCCCGGCTAATCTTTGTATTTTTAGTAGAGATGGGATTTCTCCATGTTGGTCAGTCTGGTCTGGAACTCCCGACTTCAGCTGATCCACTTGCCTAGGCTTCCCAAAGAGATGGGATTACAGGCGTGAGCCACCGTGCCCGGAAAAGCACTATGCCAAATGCAACTACCACAGTTTTGTTACCGAAAATTAGAACTATCGGTTACTACACCATAATCATTTAAAGAAAGAAAAGCGCCTTTGGCTAACAGTCTCTAAGCGCCACTTCTTCTGTTCTTTTCTAATTCTGCTTTTTTTTTTCTTTTTTTTTTTGAGACGGAGTTTCGCTCTTGTTACCCAGGCTGGAGTGCAATGGCGCAATCTCGGCTCACCGCAACCTCCGCCTCCTGGGTTCAGGCAATTCTCCTGCCTCAGCCTCCCGAGTAGCTGGGATTATAGGCACGCACCACCGTGCCCAGCTAATTTTTTGTATTTTTAGTAGAGACGGGGTTTCACCATGTTGACCAGGATGGTCCCGATCTGCTGACCTCGTGATCCACCCGCCTCGGCCTCCCAAAGTGCTGGGATTACAGGCTTGAGCCACCGCGCCCGGCCTTTTCTTTTTTTTTATTGCATTTTAGGTTTGGGGGTACATGTGCAGAGCATGCAATACAGTTGCACAGGTACACAGATGGCAGTGTGTTCTGTTTGCTTTCACCCCTTCACCCACATTTAGCGTTTGTCCCCAGGCTATCCCTCCCCACCTCCCCCTCACACTGGCCCTCCCCTCTTCCCCTCAGTAGACCCCAGTGTTTAGTACTCCCCTTTCTGTGTCCATGTGTTCTCATTTTTCATCACCCGCCTATGAGTGAGAATATGCGGTGTTTCATTTTCTGTTCTTGTGTCAGTTTGCTGAGAATGATGTTCTCCAGATTCATCCATGTCCCTACAAACGACACGAACTCATCATTTCTGATTGCTGCATAATATTCCATGGTGTATATGTGCCACATTTTCCCAATCCAGTCTATTATCAATGGGCGTTTGGGTTGATTCCATGTCTTTGCTATTGTAAACAGTGCTGCAATGAACATTCGTGTGCATGTGTCCTTATAGTAGAATGATTTATAGTCCTTTGGGTATATACCCAGTAATGGGATTGCTGGGTCAAATGGAATTTCTATTTCTAAGGCCTTGAGGAATCACCACACTGTCTTCCACAATGGTTGGACTAATTTACACTCCCACCAACAGTGTAAAAGTGTTCCTTTTTCTTCACATCCTCTCCAGCATCTGTTGTCTCCAGATTTTTTAATGATCGCCATTCTAACTGGCGTGAGATGGTATCTCAATGTGGTTTTGATTTGCATCTCTCTGATACCAGTGACGATGAGCATTTTTTCATATGATTGTTGGCCTCATATATGTCTTCTTTCGTAAAGTGTCTTTTCATATCCTTTGCCCACTTTTGAATGGGCTTGTTTTTTTCTTGTAAATCTGTTTGAGTTCTTTGTAAATTCTGGATAGCAGCCCTTTGTCAGATGGGTAAACTGCAAAAATTTTTTCCCATTCTGTTGGTTGCCGATTCACTCTAGTGACTGTTTCTTTTGCCATGCAGAAGCTGTGGAGTTTGATTAGGTCCCATTTGTCTAATTTGGCTTTTGTTGCCAATGCTTTTGGTGTTTTGTTCATGAAGTCCTTGCCTACTCCTATGTCCTGGATAGTTTTGCCTAGATTTCCTTCTAGGGTTTTTATGGTGCCAGGTCTTATGTTTAAGTCTTTAATCCATCTGGAGTTAATTTTAGTGTAAGGTGTGAGGAAGGGGTCCAGTTTCTGCTTTCTGCACATGGCTAGCCAGTTTTCCCAACACCATTTGTTAAATAGGGAATCCTTTCCCCATTGCTTGTTTTTGTCAGGTTTATCAAAGATTGTATAGTTGTAGATATGTTGTGTTGCCTCCGGTGCCTCTGTTTTGTTCCATTGGTCTATATCTCTGTTTTGGTACCAGTACCATGCTGTTTTGATTACTGTAGCCTTGTAGTATAGTTTGAAATCTGGTAGTGTGATGCGCCCCGCTGTGTTCTTTTTGCTTAGAATTGATTTGGCTATGCGGGCTCTCTTTTGATTCCATATGAAGTTCATGGTGGTTTTTTCCAGTTCTGTGAAGAAAGTCAATGGTAGCTTGATGGGGATAGCATTGATTCTGTAAATTACTTTGGGCAGTATAGCCATTTTCACGATATTAATTCTTCCTAACCATGAACATGGAATGTTTCTCCATCTGTTTGTGTCCTCTCTGATTTCGTTGAGCAGTGGCTTGTAGTTCTCCTTGAAGAGGTCTCTTACGTTCCTTGTGAGTTGTATTACAAGGTATTTCATTCTTTTTGTAGTAATTGTGAATGGCAGTTCGTTCTTGATTTGGCTTTCTTTAAGTCTGTTATTGGTGTAGACGAATGCTTGTGATTTTTGCACATTGATTTTATATCCTGAGACTTTGCTGAAGTTGCTTATCAGTTTCAGGAGTTTTTGGGCTGAGGCGATGGGGTCTTCTAGGTATGCTATCATGTCGTCTGCAAATAGAGACAATTTGGCTTCCACCTTTCCTATTTGAATACCCTTTATTTCTTTTTCTTGCCTGATTGCTCTGGCTAGAACTTCCAGTACTATATTGAATAGGAGTGGTGAGAGAGGGCATCCTTGTCTAGTGCCAGATTTCAAAGGGAATGCTTCCAGTTTTTGCCCATTCAGTATGTTATTGGCTGTTGGTTTGTCATAAACAGCTTTTATTATTTTGAGATACGTTCCATCGATACAGAGTTTATTGAGGGTTTTTAGCATAAAGGGCTGTTGTATTTGGTCAAATGCCTTCTCTGCGTCAATTGAGATAATCATGTGGTTTTTGTTTTTGGTTCTGTTTATGTGGCGAATTACGTTTATAGACTTGCGTATGTTGAACCAGCCTTGCATCCCTGGGATGAATCCTACTTGATCGTGATGAATAAGTTTTTTGATTTGCTGTTGCAATCGGCTTGCCAATATTTTATTGAAGATTTTTGCATCTATGTTCATCATGGATATTGGCCGGATGTTTTCTTTTCTCGTTGGGTCTCTGCCGGGTTTTGGTATCAGGATGATGTTGGTCTCATAAAATGATTTGGGAAGGATTCCCTCTTTTTGGATTATTTGGAATAGTTTTAGAAGGAATGGTACCAGCTCCTCTTTGTGTGTCTGGTAGAATTCGGCTGTGAACCCGTCTGGACCTGGGCTTTTTTTGTGTGGTAGGCTCTTAATTGCTGCCTCGACTTCTGCCCTTGTTATTGGTCTATTCATAGTTTCAGCTTCCTCCTGGTTTAGGCTTGGGAGGACACAGGAGTCCAGGAATTTATCCATTTCTTCCAGGTTTACTAGTTTATGTGCATAGAGTTGTTTGTAATATTCTCTGATGATGGTTTGAATTTCTGTGGAGTCTGTGGTGATTTCCCCTTTATCATTTTTTATTGTATCTATTTGGTTATTATCTCTTTTATTTTTAATCAGTCTGGCTAGTGGTCTGTCTATTTTGTTGATCTTTTCAAAAAACCAGCTCTTGGATTTATTGATTTTTTTGGAGGGTTTTTCGTGTCTCAATCTCCTTCAGTTCAGCTCTGATCTTAGTTATTTCTTGTCTTCTGCTGGGTTTTGAGTTTTTTTGATCTTTCTCCTCTAGCTCTTTCAATTTTGACGATAGGGTGTCAATTTTGGATCTCTCCATTCTCCTCATATGGGCACTTATTGCTATATACTTTCCTCTAGAGACTGCTTTAAATGTGTCCCAGAGATTCTGGCATGTTGTATCTTCGTTCTCATTGGTTTCGAAGAACTTCTTTATTTCTGCCTTCATTTCATTGTTTACCCAGTCAGCATTCAAGAGCCAGTTGTTCAGTTTCCATGAAGCTGTGCGGTTCATGGAATTGCAACTCCTGCTTTTTTTTGCTCTCCATTTGCTTGGTAGATCTTCCTCCATCCCTTTATTTTGAGCCTTTGTGTATCCTTGCATGTAAGATGGGTTTCCTGGATACAGCACACCAATGGGTTTTGGCTTTTTATCCAATTTGCCAGTCTGTGTCTTTTGATTGGTGCATTTGGTCCATTTACATTTAGGGTTAATATTGTTATGTGTGAATCTGATACTGCCATTTTGATGCTAGCTGGCTGTTTTGCCCGTTAGTTGTTGTAGATTCTTCATTATGTTGATGCTCTTTAGCATTTAGTGTGATTTTGGAATGGCTGGTACTGGTTGTCCCTTTGTATGTGTAGTGCCTCTTTCAGGAGCTCTTGTAAAGCAGGCCTGCTGGTGACAAACTCTCTGAGTACTTGCTTGTTCGCAAAGGATTTTATTTTTCCTTCACTTCTGAAGCTCAGTTTGGATGGATATGAAATTCTGGGTTGAAAGTTCTTTTCTTTAAGGATGTTGAATATTGGCCCCCACTCTCTTCTGGCTTGTAGTGTTTCTGCCGAGAGATCTGCTATGAGTCTGATGGGCTTCCCTTTGTGGGTGACCCGACCTTTCTCTCTGGCTGCCCTTAGTATTTTCTCCTTTATTTCAACCTTGTTGAATCTGACGATTATGTGCCTTGGGGTTGCTCTTCTTGCAGAATATCTTTTTGGTGTTCTCTGTATTTCCTGCATTTGAGTGTTGGCCTGTCTTGCTAGGTGGGGGAAATTTTCCTGGATAATGTCCTGAAGAGTATTTTCTAGCTTGGATTCATCCTCTTCGTCACATTCTGGTACACCCATCAAACGTAGTTAGGTCTCTTCTCATAGTCCCACATTTCTTGGAGACTTTGTTCATTCCTTTTTGTGCTTTTTTCTCTCATCTTGGTTTCTTGTGTTATTTCATTGAGTTGATCTTCGACTTCTGGTATTCTTTCTTCTGCTTGGTCAATTCAGCTGTTGAAACTTGTGTATGCTTCGCGAAGTTCTCGTATTGTGTTTTTTAGCTCCTTTAATTCATTCATATTCCTCTCTAAGTTATCCATTCTTGTTTTCATTTCTTCGAATCTTTTTTCAAGGTTCTTAGTTTCTTTGCATTGATTTAAAACATGTTCTTTTAGCTCACAAAAGTTTCTCATTATCCACCTTCTGAAGTCTAATTCCGCCATTTCGTCATAGTCATTCTCCGTCCAGCTTTGTTCCCTTGCCTTTGAGGAGTTTTGGTCCTTTCTAGGAGGCGAGGTGTTCTGGTCTCGGGTGTTTTCCTCCTTTTTGTGCTGGTTTCTTCCCATCTTTGTGGATTTATCCACTTGTTGTCTGTGTAGTTGCTGACTTTTCGATTGGGTATCTGAGTGGACGCCCAGATTGTTGATGATGAAGTATTTCTGTTACTTGGTTTTCCTTCTACTAGTCTAGCCCTTCCACTGTACGACTGCTGAGGTCCACTGCAGGCCCTGCTTGTCTGGGGTGCACCTATAGCAGCTGCAGAACAGTGAGGGATGCTACCAGTTTCTTTTTCTGCTATCTTTGTCCCAGAATGATGCCTGCCAAATGTCAGTCTTTTGGATATAGAGGGGTCAGGGAGCTGCTTGAGGAGACAGTCTGTACTTTATAGGAGCTCAAGCGCTGAGCTGTGAACTCTGTTGTTCATTCAGGGCTGTTAGGCTGCTACGTTTAATTCTGCTGCAGCAGAACTTATAAACAAACCCTTTTTTTCTCAGATGCTCTGTCTCGGGGCGGGGGGGGGTTTGGGGCTTTCTTTGTGAGTGTCTGTTGTGCTGTCCTGCCCAGCTAGGAGGCAGTCTAGTCACTATTTGCCTGCTGAGGCTCCACCCTGCTGGTGTGAGGTTCGCCCTGTTGCTGCAGGCTCTGCCCTACTGCTGCAGTCTCTGCCCTGCTGCCACGGGCTACGTCCTGCGGCGGAGTCTCTCTGTTGTAGTGGGTTGCCTTGGCAACGGCAGGCTGTGTCAGCAATGGGCGTGTACCTCAGTAGGGGCGGATTGCCTCGGTAATGGTGGACGCCCCTCCCCCACGGAGCTGAACCGTCCTGGGTTCAGCTGTGCCCACAGGGAACCTCTCCACCCGGAGTGTTTGGAATCGCCGTTTTGTTTGTCCCACTGCGCTACCCCAAACGCTGTTTCCCTGGAATCTCCTTGCCTGGCTCACTGTCCAAGTCCCATTCAGTCTCAAGTTCAGCCCTCTCAAGTCTCAGATTGCCGGTTCAACAGGGCACCCGGACCAGTGCTCTTTGTGCGGAGCACTGTGTAGCGCCGGATACTGATTTTTTAAATTATAAATAACTTCTACTTTATGATGTGTCTTTTAGTGTTTTTACAGAGTTTTAATGGGCAAATTAATTTTAATACAGTCAAGTTTATCTTCTTCCTTTATAGTTTGCTTAGTTTGTACTTACAATGTACTAACAATCATTGTACTTAATGATAGTCCTGTGCCCATTTAATATCCTGAATCCAATCTTATAGTTATATTATTTGTCCTTCTAATGATACATCTTTGTTACTTTTAAATCATCTTTCCTACTAAAGCCAGATCTCTATTATAGGGGTATAGAAGGAAGCCTTTTTAAAAAATTGATTTGGGATTATAGCCTTTTTTTCTATTTCTTAAGGTTCTTAACTTCCAGACACATGGGTGCTATTATACTCCAGAAGATATATTTTTAAATAATAAAAAGAGGGAAACTTCAATTACTTTGCTTTGACAAGGAGAACTCATGCATTTCATAATCCCACAGATCAAATATAATAAGTCAGAATCTTACTTGTATGTTGTAGAAAGGTACTCATTCATCTTTGACATCCGGGCTTTCTTTTTCTGCTGCCTTGTTTCAGGATTAAAGTCTGCTACCTGTGGTCCAGGGTTTTGAAATGCCAAGCATTTTAACTGCCGCTCTATTTGTTGCTATTAAACAAATAAAATGTGTTAGTAGTAAGAACAGATAGTTTTACCTGTTTTACATTTTCTCAAAGTGAACTTTCTGTAACTTTCACCATAATGGCATGAAAGTATATATGTTTTACACAAAGAAATAAACAGTTTAATCTAATTAAGTTTCAAAAGATGGTGTAAATTTTCTCAAGTTGGACCATTCTTTCTGAATAAAGAAATAGTATAACACTTATAAAATAAAAATGTAAAAAACAACCAAGGGGAATAGAAGAATTCTGTTTAAAACTGAAAAATGCCACTCATCTTTTCAAATGTGATGGGAATGCACATCAGAATTAGCATTTGATGTGGGTAAGACAAGGGAGTAGAGGCTCTTCCTTAGCTGAAGAAGGCCATGTAGTGTCTCAAACTGCAGTGAGAACCCAAAGTAGATACAGCACTCTCCTTCAGTGCCCTGGGATGCATTTCAGAGCTACTTTAGACTGGCCTCTATATGAGGCTCCAATCCAGAATGCAGCTGCCTGAAGCCTCGATTCTCAGTCAAAGCCAGATTGGAACAAGAGAAATATTGGTAGGATGACTTTCTAGGACAAAGGGAGACATTTTCAAAAGTCTCTGGAGACTTTTTTTATTTTGTTGAGACAGGGTCTTGCTCTGTCACCCAGGCTGGAGTGTTGTGGTGTAATCATGGCTCACTGCAGCCTCCATCGCCCAGGCTCAAGTGATCCTCCCACATAGCTGGGACTACAGGCCCACACCACCATGCTTGGCTAATTTTTGTGTATAGATGCAGTAGAGATGGGGTTTCACCACTTAAGCCTGGCCTTGAATTCCTGGGCTCAAGTGATTCACCATCTACTTTGGCCTCCCAGAGTGCTGGGATCACGGGTGTGAGCCACTGAAATTAGAAATTAGATGGGGCCTGAGCTGAGAGACAATTAGAAATTAAATGGGGCCTGGGCTGGAAGACAAATAACAAAGTGTTTCAATCAAATATTGTACTGATAACTTATTTTGAATATGTGGCACATGTCATGAGGGAAGAAAATGCTCTTTTGAAGGACTGTAGAAGGAAATGATCTCAGAATCACAAAAACATACAAGCTGACATATACATGAAATACTCCACCTGAAAAAAAAGTGAACCTTTCAATGTAGGAATTTCAATGTAACAAATTAGTAACAACAAAATCTCATGGGCTTTTCTGCAGTTTATCTAGTTTAATAAGAGTCTAGTCAGTCTAAAATAATATAATGTTTCTTTTAAATTTTATCTTGGTGTGTATATATGAGTTTGTTTCATAAACTTAGCTTTATGAAACTGTTCTACATTAGGTATGGTTATGAAATATATACAACTTAGTACCATGATGACTATTCTAAGCAGCATAGCAAGAGGTTAAGGACAGAGACACAGGGTCATCCACCTGTGCTCAAGCCTTGGCTCTGCCACTTACTAGTGGTGTGTCTTGAGCAAATTCCTACGTCTCTAGACCCCAGTTTCTTCCTTTGTAAAATTGAGTTATCAATAATATGGTGTGATAAGGATTAGCTGAGCTAACATACACAGTTTTAGAACCATAACATGACATAATAAGAACAAAATCAAAGTTCATTAAATAAAAACATTTGTAAATATTCTCCACAAAGAGCAGAATTTTATTGTATAAAACACTGGGCTAAAAATCAGGGTACACAGGAGGTGGAAAGGAGATAGGTGAGGCGAGAGCAGCCTGCAGTGAGCAGTGGGGCAGAGGGAAAGCTCTATCAGCCTGGCGGGCAGAGCTCCTCCCTGTGACATCCTGTGTGGGCCCACCTTCCCACCCACGTCCATAGGTGCCTCAGAGATCCTTGAGGGGACACTCCCCAGTAGCATGGTATCATAAAATCTATGTGCCATACCCGTTGTTTCTGTCCAATTTGACAGTTCTCAGGAAAATTATGATCTGTATGTCCCTCTTGAATGGAATTGTTTTTCTCTGATTGTTCACTCATTTTTGATCACTAAAAAAGTAATTGGAAAAAGTAAAACATATTAATATCATCTATCCCCAGTAACTTCATCTTGTGATTCTTTTCTACCCTCCCTCCATGTCTCACTTTTTTCAAAGCCAGACTGCACCTGTACTCCCAGTACTTTTTCTCCCACTCACTCTTAAACCTTGCATCTGACTCCCCCAGACCACTCTACTGAGGCTCTCCTCTGCCAGGGCTTCCAGGAGAAAAGCAGTTGTACCTTTGACAATCCTTAGCACCACAGACCTCTCTTAAGGCAGATTAAGAAGACTCTGAGTTTTTAGAACTCCACTCTTTCTTCTTTACACACACTCTATTGAAAGAAAACATATGATATGTTAATGCCATACATACCCAATAATGTGAAAACCTCACCCAGTCCCATGGTTTCAGCTGACACTTCTTCATATATCATTCCCACAGTGACCCCCAAAAGCCCTCACCTCCTAAGTTTTCCGATAAATTTTTAACACAACTTGTGCTAAATGGTTATCAGTTTTTCATAACACTCCTCTGCTAAAATGCCTGTAACTTACTTCTTCTAAATTAATTCAATAGTATATATATATATATATATATATATATATATATATATATAGTGTGTGTGTGTGTGTGTGTGTGTGTGTGTGTGTGTGTGTGAACACAAGATGCTAATCATGAGTGACAGTCCAGGGGCTGGTCTGCAGTGTTCTATCACAAAAGACCACTCTCCAGAGAAGACTTCCACAAGCCCTACTGTTTTCCCTGACTCTCATCAACTACCAACACTGACTGCATGCAGGGTGCTATTTCCACCAAAGGAAACAGAATTAGCACCACCTCCCTGCTGACCAATTGGAAATTCCATTTCTATCACTGGGAAATCTCCAAATTGCTCTCCACAGTGGCTGGACTAATTTACATTCTCACCAACAGTGTATAAGTATGCATCACAAATACTATGCAGCCATAAAAATAACTAAATCATCTTTTTGCAGCAATATGGATGCAGCTGGAAGCTGTTATCTGAAGTGAACTAACACGGAAACAGAAAACAAATATTGCATGTTCTTACTTATGTGGGAGCTAAACACTGGCTACATAAGTGGACAGCTAAACATGGACAGAAAGATGGCAACAACAGACACTGGGGGCTACTTGGGTGAGGGGAAATGGGTTGAAAAACTCCCTATTGGATATAATGCTTGTTACCTAGGTGCATTATCCTCCTGTAACACACCTGCATATGTATTCCCTGTGTCTAAAATAAAACTTGAAAGTAAAGAAATAAAATATTCACATTAAAAAAAAATTATCTTTATATTTTGCCTTATAAAACTCAAACAGTAGTGCTTAGGAAAAGTAAATAACAGCTATTTAAAATGCATGTATTCATAAGAATATATATATAATCACATTAAAGCCTCAACGGTGAATTTAATTTTGTTTATCTTGACTTTTCAGTCTTTGCATTTGCTGTCATAATTTCTACTGCCATTATTTTGGAGAATGCTAATTTACTTCTTTGTGCATATTAAGTAAATACTTAGAGCTGTGAAAAAATGTAATTATAATAACTATTATTTCTAATGTTTGGAAAATACAGTGGCACTGCCATAAAGACTTGCATGTGGTGTTTTATAGCACTGCTGGAACTTTTCATGCCCCCTCATAGCCAACTTATATCTCTTGTATGGTCATTCAAATTATTTGTTGACTTAACATATTAGGAATAAAAGAAACGATACATTTAAAAGATGGCAAGGGCAAGAAAGGCAAGGGCTGAAAAACTACCTACTGGGTACTTAGCTCTCTACCAAGATGATGAGTTCCATCATACGCCAAACCTCAGTATCATGTAATATACTTCTGTAACAAACCTGCACAGGTCCCACCTGATTCTAAAGTAAAAGTTGAAAAGCAAAGAAAAATTTATTAATTTCATTTAAATAATTGCACTTTGTCTAGATCGGTTTTTGCTTTGATACCCTCACATGCAATGTCAGACCTGATCAGCCAAACATTCCTATGAATAATTTTGCAACTTGTATAAGTTAAAAATCATGTGGAGCTCTTTTAAAAATCACTAATTTTCTTCTGAATCTCAGACCTACTGTGGTTGTAATTTGCAGGAAAGAATCTTGGTATTCTGCATAATTAATAAGCTCTCTAGATGAACCTTATAGTTAGGCAATTAAAGGAAATACTAGGGTAGAAAAAGTAGGTATAATTTTCTCTATGCAGTCATTCCATCTGATGATAAACTACTGTCTGTATAGATGGTCCCTGACTTCAGATGGTTTGACTTAGAACTTTTTAACTTTATGATGGTGCAAAAGCATGCTCCTTGATTTGTCATGGGCTACGTCCATATAAACCCATTGTAAATTGAAAATATCATATGCCAAAAATGCACTTTCTACTTAAAAATATTTTGGGTTTATCAGTACATAATCCAATAATAAATAGAGGAACATTGTATTTTCTCCCCCTTCTCCACACCATAATTAATTTAATGCATTCTAGCCCCATTAATATTCCAAAATCAGAAATCTTTTTATCTCATGCCTATTAAAATACTTTAATGACTTGACTCCTCTCTGCCAATAATTTCCCACAGCCCTGGTATATCAGTGAAGGTTCATTGTAGCTGTCTCTAACCTATATAGGCCCATCTTCTGTCATGCCTACACTTGGACCAAAGCTACCCAATCCCAGTATTCCTATTAACCTCCCAATTCTTACCTAACTGACTCTATTTTAAACTCTGGTTCTGCTCTCTCCTCTAAGAAGCCCTTTCTGATCCACTAAGATCCTTTTCTTTCTTGGGCTCTGTTTGGAGCTTCTTAAATACAATTTCCAAAAAGGGGCCCCATATCCTCTAGCTTCCTCATGTAGCAAATTTTCCTCCTCATGGGAATAGATGTGGCCATTAGACTACGAGCATCTTTGCAAGCAAGAACTTATCCTGAAAAGGTATTAGACTCAACTGCACTGGAAAAAATGAATATCTCATGATGCCTGATGTACCTCTTTTTAAATCTTTAGTGAAATGTAGGCCTCCACAAATAAGTTAGGAGCAAAACTTGCTTCTTTGTATTCCAAATAAAACAAAAAGAAATTCTAATAAAATTTCACCAGGGACTGAAATTGTCATTGGATTTTATTACAAGCTCCAAATATCTGTCCCAGGAAAAGTAGCAAAAACTTTCAGAACTCCCCCCAATTTTTCTCTTGCTGGGTATGCCCAAGAGAGGAATTCCTAACCAGAGAGAGTACTGGGAGTTCTTGAACTTGAATGAGTAAAAAGTACATATTCATTTTCATTCATCTCTAACTGAAAGTCTTCTGTTTCCTCTATTATAATGTAACACTAACAAGCCACAGTGGTATTAGCAGTACTTGTGATTTTGTTGACTATGAAAACACAGACTTTCATAACCCACTAGGGCTGCTGTAGATGTCAAAGTTTTACTTATCTTCATCACTTCTTCAAGATAATAGTAGCTCTTACACATGTTACCAGATCATGTTTGATGTGTTAATAATTGGGCACATATACTACTGTCACAATATTTTGATAAATATTTCAGTATAATTGGTTTCCTTTCTTAACTTACAAGTTTTACTTTATACAATTAAAATTAACATTCTGAGAAATGGTCCATAGATATCACTGTCTGCCAAAGGAATCCGTGACACAAAAATAAAATTAAGAACTGCCAAAAGGCAGGGAGAACCTACTGCCAGCATCTCCACTGATGATGGTGATGAGAAACAACAGTTCCCAGCTCAGGATCATTCAAACAATAGAACATGCTCATCTTCAAGCAGGCTGAAAGCAATATGTATGCTAAGTTATTACATTTAATGGGGATATAAAAAGTGTGAAATCAAGTTAATAAACTGTTTTGTCCTGACATTATATTAGATTGTCTATGAAAGAGACATAAAGTCTCCTAACACAAAGAGAAGAGGTTCCCCAAGCATCAGACTCCTAGAGCAAAGCTAGTCAAAGTGTGGTCTGAAGATGAGGCAACAGTTTAGTACCAGTATGGGGAAAGAAAACAGGCTTGGGTCAGAATAGAAATCAACTGCTTCAGCAAGCACGTTGGGTAGTGTTGGGGTTTTAAAGGCAATATGTCAAAAAGAAGGCCTCAGAAACAAAAGTTTCTCTGACTGACTTCTGCCCTCTTATCTCTCAGTCCCATTCTCTTCTGAGGCTGGCCATAGAAACTAGAATCCCTCTTCCCCAAGGTGGGTTAGAGAAACCAGCATCCTTTTTCCTTAAGGCCAGCCATAAAACCTTAAAATATTACTCTAACTTAAAATACTAATGGATTAAAATATTACTCTAACTTAAAATACTAATGGATTAAAATATTACTCTAACTTTTCCTCCACCCTGTCTGTGTAAAAACTGATCATAAAGAAATCATTAACATCTGACCTACCTTGTTTCTGTAGGTCATAAGACCCATTCCAGAGAGGGTCCTGACTTATATCCAGAAGGAAGGAACACATGCTCAGAGAGGCCAGGAAGAATGAAGAGAGATAGGACTTCCTGGGTTTCGCCACCCAGTCTATTAGCATTAGATCATGCATTTTTTTCAATCATAGTTTTACACAGCTGTCTATACCTTGTTGAGCCTAAGCATTAAAATGTTCTGTATTTTATAACTGCGGAAACTGAGGCTCAGAAAGTTCATTTGAGTCACAAATATACTAATAGGCTGCATGAGTTTGGATCCCAGATTTATCTGACCCCCAATACTATGCTCTTTTAAGGATATAACACTGCTCCAAGATTTATTTTCTTGGTGAAGCATCTCTAAACAGAAGTCTGGGGAAGGAATAGGAAAGGATGTACTTTAAATAATCTCAAGTTTTCCTCCTTCAGATCTTCTTCAGTAACACAACACTCAAAGGGCATACTAGGAAAATTTGTCTGTTTGGGGCACATAAACCACATCTGACTTCAGGATTGGATTCTGAAGAAAGTCACTATATTAGTCTTCTCAGGCTGCTGTAACAAAATATCACAAACTGAGTGGCCTAAACAACAGACATTTATTTCTCATAGCTTTAGAGGCTGGGATGTCCAAGATCAAGGTACCAACTGAGTCAACTTTTGGTCAGGCTCTGTTTCTGGCTTGCAGGCTGCCTGCTTCTTGCTAAGTCCTCATGGCCTTTTCTTGGTGTGCACACAGAGAAAAAGAGACTGTTTTCCTCTTCTTACAAGATCGGCAATTCTATCAGATTAGGCCAAACCCTAGGACCTAATTTAACCTTAATGACCTCTGTAAGGCCCTGTCTCTAAATATAGTCATGTTGGAATTCAGGCTTCAACTCTGAATTTGGAGAGGACACAATTAAGTCCACAGCAGTCATATATAAATGAAATTACCCTTGAAAAATCCCTTCAGAAAGTGCTACATTGAAATAGTCAACACAGCCAGGCATTTCTTTAGCATTGGAACAGATTATTATTCCTTAGGGCAGCATCAGATGAAGCAGCTAGCTTATACATAGGAGCTATGATGGCTGAATTATCCATGATGGATATTTGATGTTTACTTTTAAGCCTCAGAATCTCATACCCTGGCAAGGTGCTTATCCTACAGAGGGCTCAGGAGCCACATTCCCTGAGGGAATAGTACCAGATCCATGCCTCTATCTTCACACTCACTCTGAGGCACAGGTCACTGAGGCAAAATGACTCATACGTTAATCACTTCTGTTTATGTGGATGCCTTGGCAGGTAGAGTTGAATTTACATTAAGTTGATTGTGTGTTGCATGGGGTAGAATGAGTATTTTTCCATCATTACCCCCATGGACACTAGCAAATTATCAAAGCAAGAAAAGTTCCTTTTAAATTCTAGCCTAAAAGTTGGTCTCTGTTTTTACTCATAGCAGATAATTCTATTTATTCAGGGACATTATCTGCAAGATATCTCTTGAAATATATTTGGAAGCAAAAGATACACACACATATATACAAGACAAGAGAGTCTGCTATTTTAATCTCATTCTGTCTCTAGTCAGAATTCCTATACTTGCTAAATTTATGGGTCGCTGAGATAATTGACAGGTGAGTCAATCCGACCAGGGGCATATCTCGTAAAGAGAAAGGACTCCTGTGCAGGTGGTCAATTACGTTATTCCATTGCTGCCATCTCCAAGCTGTTTCAGCTGTTTTCAAAACCACAAAACAGTAACCTCTAAAAAACCTCCACTGCTATTTGTCCATAAGAAGTAAAACCGATTTAAGCCTTTGAGAGTATTGTTAGATAATCAGTGTTAATTCTCTAAGAGCAACTTTATCTACAATATCCACAGATTCCTAGAGATACTTTTGTAGTTGTATTTTCCTACACATACACACACACACTTCTGTGGCTCAATATAAAACAATGTGAAAACACATACAGTATGTTTAAAGTAATTTGAAAGTGCACTCAGCAGAGAATTTCATCATCTGTGGAACACACTGCCACCACATAGTTGCTATTGCTAACGCTACATATGCTACAACCTGGCATCACTTTAAAATCAACTCCCTTAAACGACCTGTCTGGGTCACTGACAGATCAGCATCTAAAAGATCCTCTCTACTACAACTTATTTGTACTACGGATCTCTTAAATTATACATTCAAATTATTTCTTGCAATTTTAAGGTTTGTAAAAAACCAAACCTGTCTGTTTACCCTCCTCCACCAATGGAGAGTGGAGAAGGATGAAAACTCTTTCATGAGACCGGAATACTGTGCCATTTTCAGCATTATCTTGGTAAATAGAGTCAGCATTTTCCTGATAAATACCCTTCAAAAGCACTTCATCTCAAATATTTAAGTGTGGCAGTTATTTCTTCCAAATCCCAACAGCCCTATTATGCTCATTTCTTAGTTTCTATTTTTATTTCAGCCCACACTGCAATAAAGGAACTCCAATTATCTTTCACTCCTAAGTATGACACATAAATATAGCAATATATATTCAGAGTCTACATGATATGGCTTGTTTTGCCTCTTCCTTCTCTACCAGCCTCAGAGGGCATCGGGTTTAGGAAGCATCATTTGTAAAGGAGTGCCTTTCAAATGATGAAGTTTCACAGTTCCATTACTCCCTGCTTCTTATTGTGAGTTGCCTTGTAAAGACAAACTAGAAAGGTGGTAAAGAGAAAGTACACATACCTTTAAATTGGATGAAAAAGAAGGAAAGAATACTGGAAGGAAAGAGAAACTGTACTGCCTTTTTTCCTTTGTTTTCTTGAGAAACCATAGAACCCTCAAGGGAAAATGAGAAGGCCTCAAAGGTGCTTCTACAGTTTAATGCTTGTATAATAACGGCTGGGATGAGGGAAGGTAGATAATGAAGGAGGGGATGGATGTAAATGTTAACAACTCACTCTTCCACCATGACTGTTCTAAAATCATATGAAATCAGATTATGAGAGTTCACCTTCCCTCCCATCTTCCATTCACAATAATCAGTTAATCCAGGGTTATGATTTTACTCTACTGTTCAGTCTCATATCTCAACTTCAAAAGTTTAACTAATATTAATATCAAATTGTTCCCTTGGCTATTTTGTACTTCAGTGTAAATAGCACTAATAGCACTATCTTTCTATCAATCATCTATCTATATATATATGTATATACACATACATATATATGTATAATGTTTTCTTAAATATTAAAATCATTTAAGAAAAAGCTGTTTTCTCATGAGAAAACTAAACCATGTTTATAAACTGTGTCTACGACATGTATTAATCTCTAAATTACCACCCTGTAAACATTGTCCTCTGCCACCAGGGTTTGGATATTGTTGTGAGTCATTAAAACTCACTTCACTGGCAGGTTAATACGTGCTCTGTTCATTTGTGAATTATAGGGTAAAAACTGCCATTTTATTACTAATTACTTTTACTGCAAAGAACAAGGAAAGGAAACAAAATCTTCAATTTTAAGAGCTTGCAAACCACCTGGCAATAATGGAAAATCCTAAGGTGGTTCCAGAATAAACATACTTGACCTGAACTTTTATGTATTAAGCCACTGCTATATTTTTGAGATTACACAGCAAATTTTGCGTAATTAAAACTGTGTTTCATCTTCCCAGTTCCAGACTGATAAAATTTAAAGCTGGTAAAAATCCTACCAGACTTTTCCACAGTCAATCACTTCCTACAAAATAAATTCTTTGGCCAATGTTTGGCTTTGCTTTTAGACAATTAGCAGGTGAAGGGAGTCTTTGCTGATGCTACCACACACAGTATTACAGTAACAATGTAATACGGGCCCGGCGCGGTGGCTCACACCTGTAATCCCAGCACTTTGGGAGGCCGAGGCGGGTGGATCACGAGGTCAACAGATCGAGACCATCCTGGTCAACATGGTGAAACCTCGTCTCTACTACTAAAAATACAAAAAAATTAGCTGGGCATGGTGGCGCGTGCCTGTAATCCCAGCTACTCAGGATGCTGAGGCAGGAGAATTGCCTGAACCCAGGAGGCGGAGGTTGCAGTGAGCCGAGATCACGCCATTGCACTCCAGCCTGGGTAACAAGAGCAAAACTCCGTCTCAAAAAAAAAAGTAATATAACAAACACATCAAGGGCGGAGGGCAAAGGTGGTAATGCTCTTAAAACTAGACAGAGGGAAATTTTCTAAAAGATAAGAATTGTAACAAACCTTGAAAAGTCCCTACTGAAAGGTTTTTTTTTTAAATTAAAGTGACAAGAAATTACAGTGCACCACAGCATTGAACATTACTTCATTTCTCCAATTTAAATAAGAAAATAAGTCATACAAAATAATTATCCTGTATTATTTACAAGTTTATCAAGCAACATTTAGTATCATTTTTGAAACAATGGTTTAACTGGTAAATCTTCAGGAGAACTTTATATCACTTTTTAAAAGGTAATTTCCTTTTAAAAGACTGAAAAGTATTTTTCAAAGGTAATAATACCTCACTCAACTTGCAAGTCCAGAAATTATTGAACTTCTGACATGACTTTTGCTATAAAATTGTATTTGTTCATCTTCAGATATTCTCAGGTTTCCTAGAAAATAAGTTGAATGTAATATAAAATTGATTGCTTTTTCAAATGAAGAATTCACATACTAAAACACTCCCCAGTTTCCTTTTAAGTGCTCAGAAAGTAAAAATCTTCATGTTTATGGGTAATATCAGGTTGGTGCAAAAGTAATTGCAGTTTTTGTCATTACTTTCAATGGCAAAATCGCAATTACTTTTGCACCAAGCTAATAATGTATTTTGTCATTTGTTAGCTATCTGTATATTAATTTGGAATATGCTCTGTACTTAAAAGCGACACTACTCATAAGCTTATTCATTGCAGCATTGTTTTTAGTTGTGAAATATTGGAATGCCCATATTTTTCAACCTCAGGAGTGGTTGAAAAAACTATGGTATATCCACATGTACCATAAACATGTAGTACTATACAGCTCTAAAAAAAAAAAGAATAAGGGAGATTTCTATGGAATTATATAAGACAATTTCCGAAATGCATTGTTAAATGAAAAAAGCAGAGTACAAACAGTATTTATAGGATACTATCCTTCATGTAAGGAAGAAGAGGGTATAAGGAAATTCTTGCTGTAGCCAAGTAATTTTAATAAACCCTATATGATGTAGGGTGTAGCTTATGGAATAATTAAAAAGTTGCTAGCTTCGGGAGTTATGAGCATCCCAGGAGGGGCTAAAGTAGGAAACTCTCTAGCTTTATCTTCTGAAAGCTGTTAGCATCTTTCTTAGCAAGCTCTCACTGGGCTGCTCCAATCCTCTAATTGAAAGGCCCCAAGAAGAATAACCCTTATTGTCTAGGTGCTATTACTTCTGGTTCGCTGTGGTTACTGTTTTATCAAGGTGTTGTTCTACTGTGAAGGTAATGAGTTGTATTTTTGACAAGGTATACTTGCTTTTTTTTTTTTCTCAGACAGAGTATCGCTTTGTTGCCCGGAGTGGAGTGCAGTGGAGCGATCTCAGCTCACTGCAACCTCTGCCTCCTGGGTTCAAGCGATTCTCCCACCTCAGCCTCCCGAGTAGCTGGGATTACAAGCACCTGCCACCATGCCTGGCTATTTTTTTTTTTTTTTTCGTATTTTTAGTAGAAATTGGGTTTCACCATGTTGGTCAGGCTGGTCTCGAACTCCTGACCTCGTGATCCACCTGCCTTGGCCTCCCAAAGTGCTGGGATTATAGGCATGAGCCACCATGCCTGGTGAAAGGCAGACTTTCTAGTGGGAGTCATCATGGGAGTCCAGAAGTAGAATGCGCTGATATAGAATACTACAAACCTGAGCCAGGACCAGTGGCTCCATCACTCGATGTGCTCAAGGGTATCTATCCACATTGCCCTTCAAATCATTCACCCAGCAGCATTTATTAAATACTTTTTATCAGCCAGACTCTGTGCCAATGATAAAAAGACAAGACACGGTTTCTCTCTTCAAAGTGCTCACAGGTCTAAAAGAAGAAGATATGTAATCAAATAAGCACAAGATGTTCATCACAAGTACTCAAGGCACTGAGGAGTCTGGAGGGGCAGAGGGAGTGGAGGGACTAGTGTGCTGTCCCTGGGAATCAAGGTGTCAAGAAAGACTCTGGTGGGACATTGTGGCTCCCACCTGTAATCTCAGCACTTTGGGAGGCCAAGGTGGGAGGATTGCCTGCACCTGGGCATTCGAGACCAGCCTAGACAACATGGTGAGACCCCAGTCTTGCTAAAAATAAAAAAAAAATTAGCCGAGCATGGTGGCTCATGCCTATAATCCCAGCTACTCACCGGGCCAAGGCAGGAGGATCACTTGAGCCTAGGAAGTTGAGGCTTCAGGGAGCCGTGATTGAGTCACTACATTCCAGCTTGGGTGACAGAGTGAGACCCTGTCTCAAAAATTTGTTTTAAAAAAAGACTCACTAGAAAAGGTGCCAATTGGTGAATACTGAAAACTGCACAGGGAAAACTCAGGTAAAGAGGGAGGGGGAGGACATTCTAAGTGACTGGAGCTGCTGTGAGCAAGAGCTTAATGTTGGAGAAATCTACAGATTTCAGATGGTTCTAGTGGGGGTGTCAGGGGTTGTCTAGGCTACAACATGGCTAAACTGCAAAGTGCACTCCTGTAGCCTCTGTGTGTGTATATAGACTCCAATGAGTATCATTCCCAGTGAAAAAAATGGAGTGGCTAGCAGGCAAATGAAATAAAATCAACAGAGAGGACAGTAAGCAGAGTTATGCAATTTCAGGGCCTCCAGCAGCTCCATTTTGGAAAATCAATAAAACAATTTTAAAAACAAAGAAACAAAAACAAAACAAAAAACAGAATAAAAACAACTTCAATGTTTTTCCAAACTTCCTTGTAGAACTGGTATGCCTTATATGCCAGTAAATACATATATTTTTATATATAGAAAAATAATAATAAAGCAGCGAAAGTATTCTGTATGATATTTCAGTGGTGGAGATATGTCATTATACATTTGCCAAACGCCATAGAATAGAATGTATTAGACAAAGAACAAATCCTAATATAAACTGTGAACTTTAGTTAATGATAATGTATCAATATTGGCTCACAAATTATAACAAATGTACCATACTAATATTTCCCTGATATTAATAATCAGGGAAACTGTTGGGGGATAGCAAAAAAATATATGAGAACTCTGTACTTTTTTTCAATTTTTCTATAAAACTAAGACCTCTGTAAAAATCATTCTATTGTGTTTTTTGATGCATAGAATAAAATTTTTTTACACAATTTCTAATTTGGAACAGAGTAGGTAAGTGGATATAATATTCCGTTTGTTTTACATTAAAATAATTAAATTATTTTACTTGTTTTGCTATTATATTACTATTAGTTTTAACACAACTATTATGCTAATATTGTATTACTAATTTGATTTACTAAAGTCATAGTACACTTATTATTTCGTGCACTACGCCCCAGTCTTACATTTTGTGTAATCACACATTTTGTGCTTGCTGTACCTAAATGTGCTAGTATTCTCTTTTTCAGAAATGCCCTCCCATCACTCTTTAATCACTCCTTTAATGCCTTCCCTTCACTCCTGTTATATACCAAATGGCTATAACAGAAATTACATATAGCCATTTGGTATATACCAAAGGCTTTAAAATAGACATTATCTTTGACCCAGCAATTCCTCTTTGGAAAACATTCTAAGGAAAGATAAAGATCTTTGCAAAAATTTAGCTACAAGAGTAAATCTTGTATTAATTGCTAAGTGTCGAGTTGCTAAGTTGGGAAAGTAAAAAGTTTAGCAACAACTTAATTATCAAAACAAAATAATGTAATATGATGTCATTAAAATAATATTGTGAAATATATTTATTCACAAGAAGAGAGATTAATACACATCATTGTTACAAAAGAAGATCTGAGAATGTAGAGAGTTTTAAAATTTGTGAGACAGGTTAGCAAATCA